TCATAGGCCTACTCATAGACCTCATTTTAGTGATTAGGGCCTATAGACTTTTAGCGACTTATTACATTAGACTTAATTGTTACTTAGACTGTTAACTGTTAGTGTTAGGTTCTTTTTAATTATGTCTGCAATTCTCGAGACTGCTGTTACCCTATATTTTTTATTTTTCAGTGACTCAATTCTGAAGTATTTAGGTGACTGGTGCTCTAGTAGTGCCAGTGCCCAGTGGTGTAGATGTTACCGATGGCCTAAATCTTTTTTGGAGATCTGGAGCGACGATGGGGGACGTTCTTGACAGTGCTGGAATAAAACTGGAATCGACAGTGAAACGGGCGAAGGCGATACTTATAATTAATGCTGGGACGAATAATTTAATTCAGGTATGTTGCTATAATTTTAATATTATAACCTAAACATCAACAACATGCGGAAAACATTGAAATAAAATCGTCGAGATTGGTACGTGTATTGTATCTGCCTCTGATCGAACACAGGTGCATTGTGGTGCAGATTTCAAAATTCGTTGTACTATGATATCTGGGATAATTTAATTTCCAGTATCGAAATACCTATAGATCCCATTTGCCATTTGGGTACCCTACCAAAATATTACAATTTAATTTTGGGTTACTAAATTGCTGTTATATAGTATCCCATAATTCCAAACCCTTAATTGTTCCCTATTTTGCGCACTAGCTGCAGAGATGCCAACCACTACGATTTATCCGTATTTTATACGAATTTCTATTCCTTTTGCACCACTACGACCAGTTTGTATCAAACTACGAATTTCACTGTGATCGAAATATATATTTTTTTTTCAATTATTGTTATTTTTTGTCGATTTATTGTCATTTTTGACCCTCAGAATGCAGGAAATTGCATCTCAGAATCAAATTTTTTTCTGGGGGGCATGTCAGACCCCCCTAGAAAACTCGGGTCACTACGTGACCCTCGAACTACTAATTTTATGGCCAGAAACTACAGATTGCTTCAAATATGTGTTGGCATCTGCTAGCACAGCCACGCACGAGGTGTAGGACTATTGAGTATTGTATTGTATAAAAGCCCCGGACACGCTAGGTGAATTTTACGACGAATTTGTTGGGACGAATGTCACCCCAGATTAATTTGCCTAGTGTGTCCAGTGCTACGTCATTCGGCTGGATCGATTTGCTGCTATCAAACATGCTTGATATTATGATATTATATTCAGCCGAATTTTGATTGTTCGAGTGGTTTTTTGCCTAGTGTGTCCACTCCTTAAGAATACTTTCAAATAACTTTAATATACTTATGATATAAGTATTAACAATTTATACACCGTATGGAAATATGAAATAATATTATATATTTAATATATTATATATATATATATATATATAAATTGCGCTGATACCACATAAGTTATGTCCATATGTAAAATTGAAAATGGTTTCTTGGTGTACGAGAGCTTTGTCATCTATACTATAATTTGGCTAACCTTGTGTGTGCGTGTGCAACTGCCACTGCGAAAAATCGACGATGGACCTGGCTCCCTTTCTTGGATTGCTGGGCCAATGCTGGCTCCCTTTCTTGGACTTTCCCAACTTGGGACCTCTGGCTAAATGACTTAATTTTTCAAATTGTTATTTTTAGGGAATGGGTCCAGTCTGTGTTCGGGATGAGGCTTTTCAGATAATAAGGACAATAAGGTCGATGAATAAAGATTGCATTATCTTTATTTCGGGTAAGTTTTATATATATAATCAATACCCCACCACACAACAGGTTATTAAAAAAATTTAAATTACATATAATTATTTATATATATATGTGTATAATATTTGGTTATAATCAGACTAGAAGTGCAAAATAATAATGTTTTACATTGTATATAGTGCGAAATCCAGCCAGTGATGGAACTATTTTATCTTATTCTGGAGTTGAATAAGAAAGAATTTCAATGTTTAACCGCTGTCTGTTAACCGTTAACTATCTACTTGCACTAGAATCATATATTTTAATAATATCTGCCTAATAATTAAGTTGCAAGTGTTATGTCTTTTCAACTAGGGCTATTACCCAGAACAAGGAGTCAGCATATGTCAGGAAAATCATTTAATGAGAGGAAACAACACTACAAACAGATAGATTTAATGAATCTCATGATCGACCAAACCAACCAGCTTCTGCTCGATATGTGTGAGGTATTACATTTTACTTGATATCAGGGGTGGTACAGGTACTTGGTAGCAGGGTTGGCTAATTATGTGATTAGTTAAATATGTAATGAAATTACTTCGTGAAACAGATTTTTAAGTATGATTAACTAATCATGATTATTGATTTAACTATAATTAGAGTTATCACGCTTTGTGAAACCGGCCCCAGAAGTCCAATTTGATTTCCCTGCATAATGTCGTGTGAACTACAGCTGAAACAAATCAACACTTTAATAAAAACTAGAAAGGCGCGCGGCCCTAGTTTTTTGCTGGGATTTGGATAAGGGTAAGAGTAAAAAGTTGGGAATTGTAGAAACGATCGATTCTTGTTGACCACCAGATTATGAAAATATTTCAGTATGATCATGATCCTGATAATGAAATCAATACAGTGAAACCACTAGCATACAAACACTCCTTTGTATAAAAATGACAAAAATTATTTATGACAATTTCCCTGAAAAATGCGCTTGTATATCTGCAGGTTTTAAGATGATTTTTAGTAACGTTTTACGTGTACATTCTTTTTGCAGAGTTTGCCAATGACAACTATGATTATACATAAGAACATCGACCTCTGCCGTGACGGCCTGCATACAGCTAGACTGGGTATTAAGAAATTGGCATCGTCGATTTTTGATCATTTGAACACCTTGTAAGTAGGCCTATGGTCATGGAATATAATATCATTGAATTAACCATAGACGAAGCACATAAGCAGGGCTCGAATTTCCCCAGTTTGATGACTAATCCGTACGGATTTGTTCCTTCACAAATGAGCAAATCCGCTCAAAATCTAAGTAATCCGTACAGGGTAGGCTAAATTTTACTATGAAAAGAAAAAATTGCATGCAGGACAAACCGTCCTGAATAAAATACCTAAAAGTTAAACATTGCTATTTTAAGCGTGGGAGCTCAGCATTTTATATACAGAATTGTCAGATAGTTGATTGAAATGATGTACTAATAGGCCATGGGCCGAGGTGGCAAAATCGCAGTCTAGAAAATGATTTTCGTTTGACACCCTCATGGAACGGAAGTTTAATTTTGGCTATAAAGTTAATATATATTAATTATAGTTAATTATTTAATTAATCAATTATTATTATTATTTAAAATGTATTTTATTTATTTCAATTAATATCAGATTATTTCTACTATATATAATTTCTAAACTTTAGTTTTTTTAAGCTAGTTATAAGGTCATAAAGTTATATTAGCCATATAAAATACTCTAATATGTAGTTAAACACATATAGTATAAATAATTTTAAGTCATGGTTCGATATTATATTCTATAAAACCACTAATTATACTTTCTATATTCCTTCTCATATAATCCACAATATAATTAATATCTGGTGCTGAAAATTATAGTATATTTCATCATTGCTTTATTATAAATAATTGGAAATCTACATAAATATATATCATAAATATATTATCACTTATCAGTTATATTTCACCTCATTATTATCATAAAATATAAATGATATATGTAATTATTATAAATATCCTAGAAAAGGTATTAATTATTAATCATCATATATTCTAATAGCATTTCCGTATGTTGATATTATAATCAATTATATATTAACACATTAAAATTAATATTACTGTTTAATATAATTGTATATCTCTAATAATATCTAATAAATAAATTAACAAAATTACAAATCTGATTTATATAATAATAATTACTTATAATTATTAGTAATATTTAATAAAGAGCCCATTAAGCCTTAGTACTATCACTATTGACTTTTTTACATTCGTAAATTATTACCCAGTATCCTATAACAACTTATACTTATTTATGAGGTAGTTATAATAAAATAAAAGATACTTAATAACCTATACTTATTCATTAATACTGAACTATTATTAATAAAAATGTGTAATAATTATAATAATTCTAACTTGACTCCAATTTATATTATTAACTTAAATCTCTGAATATATGACATTATATTTCTAAAGTATTGTCTATAATCCCTGAATTTAATAAAATCAACCTCAAATGTTCTCCCCTAAATGTTGCACATTAGTTGAATAGACTTTTGAAAATTTGGAAATTTTCAGAAAACAGTCAAATTCTGCCAAATAGATTGGCTGTAGATGCGAAGCTTTAAACCAAATCACGGTGCTCTATCGAAGCTTGAACCAATCAAGGGTGCTCCATTTTCAAACCATAATGGCACCCCTAGCGATTTGCTTGTTGTAAGATAACAGACCAAGTAGAAGTTTATACCCCAAGACTTAAGTGAATGAATAGTGAGTATAATATAATGATACTCGTAATAGAGAAAATACTTAGACTAAATTAGATTGGGACATTAAACCACTGCACAGATAATTTTCGATTTCTAACCACCCAGAGGCTCTGTGGTTAGATTAGTGACTGTGGACACTGTGAAGCAGTGTTAGTGCGTACCACTAGCTACTACGTCGACTAGTAGTAGTAGTATAGTAGTCAGTANCGCCCCTCCTCCCCCTCCCTTCTACCTCTGCTGCCCCCTTCCCCTCCCCCTCCTCCCTCCCCCTCCCTGCTCCCAGCCACCTTCACCTCCTTTCCCGCCCCTCCACCTCTGCTGCCCCCTTCCCCTCCCCCTTCTCCCTCCCCATCCCTCCCCCGCCTTGCTACAGATATAATTGTCAGCATGAGTTTAACTATGAGTTGTCATTCTATACATGTTGTTACTCAACCATCGCGACGCTTCCAGACATATGCAGTCGATATTGTTACCGTAATTATACCGTATTTATCTATATATATATCTATCTATCTATATATCTATATATATATATATATATATATATATATATATTAATATATATATATATAGTTAATTAATTAATTAGTAACGTTTTTTTACTTTTCTATGTGTAAGGCCTCGGTCGCGTGTTCGCGGTCGTGCCCGTCGCCATGGCGACCGAATCCCGCTCGCCGTACAGAGTGCGCGTTGGCGGAGGGAGCAACAACAACTGCGCGTGCATCGGTGGCCCCTGGGTTGAGCAAGCAGGTTGCTGCCAGCGCACAGCTAACCGATGCTGGTACACAGATAACCGGGTCGTCTGCGTGACTTGACTGCTGCTCCCCCTGGTGGCGACCCCGCAGCCGCGCATACTACCTTATGTTAGAGGATACGAACTATGTAACTACGTTACGTGTAACAAGAAAGATCAGATCCGTGTGTTTGTCAAAGAACTATCAATGTCAACAACATTAATAATAATAATAATAATAATAATAATAATAATAAATAATAATAATAATAATAATAAAGTAATAATAATAATAATGACGATAATAATATAAAACACGGGACAAAGTTAAGATTCATAGTTCTGTGCCATCGCACGTGGAAGTATAGTGACGGCTGCGGTCGCCTAGATGGCACCTGTCGCGAGACGCGGACGCCCGGGTCACGTGATCCGGAGAGATTCCCGGCATGCAGCTCGTCGTCGTGGTGCGGCGTGGGTGTGTCTGAATCTCCCATCATTCTAGCGGGAAGTGACTGACTCAACCAACCGATCACATTTCAGCGAGCAGTGTGTTGGGGGAAGGCGCCGCTCACTGAGGGCTGACGGCACGCTAGACTGTCGCCACGCGGGTTGAATGGCTGCAAGGGCCGTGGAGGGTCAGGGGCGGGCGGCAGTCTACGTAGTTCGCGCGAGCGATGTAGGAAATTTTTTGCGGCAATTTTGAATTCGTTGGCGTTTCGTGATGAAACCGCGGCGCCAATCTGCTCGGCGTTTTCGACAGTATATATCAGATTTCTGATTTGACGGCTTGTGATACACACGTCGCTTCTGTGTCAATAAATTTTCAAGTTATATAACCAAAAGATGTGGCAGTCTGTTTTTCGTGTGCCTTAATTTGTTCAGAAAATAATATAAAACCGCGGCTTAATTAACAAATCCCCAGATCCCGATTCGTGGGAACTTACGAAAATTAAGGATAAGAATCCAGAGATAAAGAATGAAAGAAACAGACCGTGAGAAATGTTAAAATTATAGATCATCTGTTTGTTAGTTTTTAGCTCATCTTGACATAGTCAAATGCAGCTGGTAAATCGCATGACGCGGGCCGTGTCCGTCGCCGTCAACAGTTGGTCACAAATCTTAACCGCGTTCGACGACGTCACGATATTCGGGACGTGGGGGTAATCCGAGAAACGAGTTGGGATGGTCGACAGCTGTATGTCAAGTCAAAGGTTCATAGGTGTAAAGAAGCGGGAACATTCACTCCTCTAACTAAGGTATAGGCGGAACATGCAGAATTGCGGCACAATCTAAACGCGCTCGACTAGGCCGTGAATAGTCGGTGATAGATCATTAGGAAAAGCCATTCACTGGTGCCGAAATTGGAGGTCACGAGGTCACAGGTCAATGCAAAGGGCAGATTTTAGACATTTTTCTGAGGACGCATGGTCTGAGTCGGAGCGATTGAAAAACTTTTTTGTTTCAGGCGTGACCTATCGCATTTTTTATCTGTGCTTTAAATTAAAGGACCATGATAATGTCCTTCGCGACATGCGGAAGAGAAATAAAAAAATATAGTGTTCGGATAACGCCTATTTGACCCTCAAGAGGAGGTTAAACATGGATTTGTGACTGTCTGTTAGAAAGAATTTGAACTGCCGGGTTTGCTAGTAAACTATACATGCCTGGATGTATGAGGCTACAATGTCACAGTGTAAATTCAAAAGCTAAATTTGGTTAAAGAAGGCGTATGTGCCTAAATCGATAATTCTACTTCATTCTGTACTGTCAGATGTTAACATTAACGTATGCGCATGCCGTAACTGCTCCAGCGCCATGTGTTGTGCAGTTTTTGCCTTGCGTTAATTGTTGTCAGGTGTTAGCTCTCTTATGCAATTTGCAGCCTGCTAGCTGCGTCCCGGTAAATGGATGAAGTGCTTCCTAATTTGTCCTATGCAAATAGTTGTTGCTACTGACTATGAGGGAGCTCCACTTTAATCTGAAAGACACTTAAAACGTACGCGCCATCATTCTGTGAGGCAACTTCATTAACGATCCAACGAACATTCTTTTGCTAGAAGGTTTCCTGATACCATCTCTGCGCATTTTCCACGTTTCGGGCGTGTAATGTGAACACATATTGGACTAACAGGGTACTAATACCCACCACTCCACCACAAGAAGTCTATCGCAGTAGACGTTAGATGATGCGCTGTCGCTCTGCGGCACTGTGTGAATAACATTCGGTGCAAACTCACACACACACAACACAAGTTCTTAAAATTGAACTACGTCACGAATTTGCCCATGAAAATTTGGTAAAAAAAAAATTGACATTTTTACATAAAATAAGAATAACTACAAATAATCTCAAACATCTCACGCTTGATAAAAATGTTTTTAGGTTGTTAAATTGCAAAAATCTAGACGATTTGGTAATTGTGTTGCTTGACAGTTATTACACACTATTCCCCAGTTACTGTTCAAACATGCGTTTCTCTATTTTCGCACCCGGCTAAATTAGGGCATATAAAGACAGTAATACCTGAAAAGTAAACATGAAACACTAATTGATATTTATACTATACATATTTATGTATCAAATAACACAAATATACCTACTTGATGGGTGCTAGAAAACACGTCTCGACGTAATCACTTTAATAGAAGTACTTTATTGTAAGTAAAATACATTCAGAAATCACTAGAAAATTTATCACAGATTCTGGACCTCATAATATTATACCGACCCAGCTTCGCAATTAAAGCATATAATATAATATGCGGAGAATCAGTTTAAAAAAACAGGGAACACAGTTTTAGAATCGATAAAGCTCGGTGTAACGCGTAACAGTGCCGAAAGAACCAAACATAAGCAGGCTCTGGAATTTCCCGAGCAGTGAATGACTTAATTTCAGTAGGATTTGTTCCTTTCCAAATGAGCCAATCCCTCATAATATCTGAAGTAATCCGTTACAGGTAGGCTCAAATTTATCTATGAAAGAAAAATTGCATGCATGGACAAACCGTCCTGAAATAAAATACCTTTGAATAAACAATTGCTATTTTAGCATTGGGGCTCACATCTTTATTATATCATATTGTCAGATATGTTGATAGAAATGATGTATAAGCCTCTGCAACCACAGACTGTTCTTGCTCTGTGACCATTTAAGACATAAATTGACTAAGAAGTGCTGATAATCGCAAGGTGGAAGGAGTCAGCTGTGTAACGGCAAGATTCAAGTAACCGTACGGATTTCGGCTTTAGTTCCTTATACATCTGAGGGTCCATCTACTGGATTACCGGATTTCTCGAATTTCGACCCTGCATAAACGACATTCGATTACTTGCCTGCGCACTAAGATATAGTATATGAGCTGTGAATTTGACATTTTATAGATTGTTTCTGTTAACTTATATTGGAGGCTGCCATGGAGTTACGGGCCGCACACACTAGGCCTATTTTATGGGGGCCGACCAATCGCCGGGAAAATCGCCTTATGTGTCCAGCTCATCGCCCGCCGACTTTAGCGCAAGATCAATAACGTTTTAATATATCGGTGCCGATTTATTTCATCGCGTCGACTAAATCGGTGATGTGTCCAGCTCGATTCGGGCGATAAAGTCGCCCGATTAGATCGCATTAAAATCGCCTAGTGTGTCCGGCCCTTTAACGATTTCCAGTATTATCTAAAAAGTACATATTAAGTTAGGTTTTTATAGAAGTTTATTTTCTTTGCAGGAATTGTAGAGAAACACCATTGCGAGTACCAGTACCACTACCAGTACCACATGACGGTTTTTTCCTCAACTTGGCATCAATATCGAACGCAAGCAGTGGACAGGGGATCTTTTCAGTGAAGTTTGTGCTAAGCCAGCGAAGAGAGCAGGTACACTTATTAACCATATTTAATATCAATAACTATATAATCTATATCTCTGATTTTGTTTCTGATATGTTCTATATTGTTTTTTTATTGTAAATATAATGTCGCATCTCAATTTCACAACTTTGTTATTCAGAATTGTTACTGATACCATGTATGCTTGACAATTGTTAAGTTATAATCTGTTAACTTTTCAGGTTATGTATTCGCATCCTGTAGTCACTCTAACTTAGTACAATCTGTATTGTACGCTCTTTTCATTTTATAGATAGCATTTGATCACGGAAAAGCAGAATAACCACAGAGAAGACTCCAATATGCAACTTAAAGAAGTGGAACAAAGAAAAGGCGAAGATCCCATGAAGATCCCTATATAATCGGTAAGATTTCTGTGATATACTGTATCTAATGCCAAGTTCTACTGTGATTTTATTTTTTACCTCCGCCCGAAAGCGGAGTTGAGGAAGGTTATGTTTTCGCTCTCTGTGTGTTTAGGTGTCGTGGTGTTCGCGCAATTCGTATAGCGGCGTCGAGTCGTATGGCGTAATGTGTTGGGCAGCGATCCGATCATTCACAGCGAGTCAGCAAGCCAGAGCCCCATCGAGCCAGCGAGCCATCGATCCCAGCGACCAGCGAGCCGCAAGGCGAGCCCCCACGCTCGTTACACATACATGTTACACTGGAGCGTGTACACTGTCCTACCTTGCGTAGATTCGGTTATTCGTGGTGTTCGTGAGTCCCCAGTTTGGCGTATGTCGCTGGCGGAGGTATGCACTCCGTGAGTGCACTCTTGTCTAGTGTTATTTGTTTCATGACTAATGTGGCTGTTAATACATGTATTTCTGCCAAGGAGAACGAACTGGAAAATAATGGAATTTTCTAAAATGAATTCATCATTATTTGTACAATCGTAGTAGATGTATATATGCACACTAGCATTGCATATATCACACTTAGCTTAATTCGGGTTAAAGTGTTGGTTATTACTCACGAATTCTAAGTAAGATTTTAAAAGATTTGTTGCCATTTTTTTTTCCATACAAAGTAAGAACCTAAATCGAATAAATATCGTCAAAATTCTTACCATATAAGAATTGGTTCTCAACTAGTTAAAAATCCCAAAAACTGGACGATTTGATATTAGTGTCTAACATAATGGCTTGCTATGGCTATGTATGCGTCACGAGTGTATGTTCACATCAAACAATATAGTAAAATAAGAAAGTATAATGCAGCAAATTTAACCATAAAAATGTGACAGAATTACTTAGTATTCTGTATATAATTTATTTGTAATATTTAACAGTTGACGTAATCACTTAATGGTATCTCGCTAAGACGATGCTACTGTAAAAGGAAATTTTAATTCTCATTTACAGATTTTCAATCTTAAAGAACTATGCTGACTATGCTGCAAAAGATATCTGGGTTGGTGAAGAGGCACAACATCGAAGACAACTACAACAACAAACACAGACAGCAACAGAATGTTGGTGCGGGAAATTCAAGTACACGTCAGATTACATGCTACTGGACCATATAATCGATCACAATGTAAACCAAAGAAAGATTAAATAATAATAATGTAATTAAGAAGCCTTCTACTTTGATAGCTTCTAATTTACGCATGTAGCTAAATGAAATAAAGAATTTGTTGCAGATGACGGTGTCTGAATTGGCACGAAAATGAGTTGCCCGCAGCCGCAGTTATTAAACCCGGATCAGCTGCCACAGAATAAGCGACTTTCCATTGCACTTGATGTGCGTGATAGTTCACTTAGTACAAACTTATAGTTCTAATCCCAGAATTAGAAGCCTGGGGCCCGTTGTCAAACAGGGGCTTGTCGTAATCACGTTAATGCTCGAAGTTAATCGCTACGATAACCTCTACCGACTCCAAGCTAATCAGTACATTTCGCGAGACTACGTCTGACCCAGCCACCAACACATCGCAGCTCATTAGAAAACCTTACCGATAACAGAACTTCATCACAAGAACTGCTTGACTTGATGAGAAATCAATCACAAAATTCTAAATTCATACAACATTTATTGTAATCACAGTAATTATGCATATTATTGATGGCTAACACACATATAAAATAATATTTGATGACAAAACACGTGTCATGCATTAATTCTGCACCAACAAGAAAAATTCTCCACACTGTAACGCGAACGGAGAGTCATGGCAAGCGTGGAAAACCTGAACAAGAGAACAAATCCATAACGCCATTTGTAATGTATTGTTTTTGTTATTAGCGTAGATAATTAATGATTTTGACGTGTTTTTCAAGAAAACACCACTTTTATCATTATTATAAAATATAATATCATGAATTGTATTCGTAGTGTAAATGTGTATTTTCAACTTTAATATAAAAGTTAACGAGAGGTCTGAGCTCTCGTAATGTTGAGGATATTTGCAAGGATTTTTTCCGTTCTCCGTAACCCTACGAATGTGTTCTGTCATACGGTGTACTCAGTAGGAAGTTAATGGTAAGACTAAATGTTGTCGACTAATTTTGTTCTGACAACGCCCCCAATGTTACCAATAGCAAAGACAAAATGCAATTATTAATACTACAATAAAATGATTTGATTAGCCTACATGCCTATATTAGAATTTAATGCAACACATGTTTTAAGTGAGGATCTCTTACTCCCATACCCTTACCCATCTCTTACCCCGTAAGGTAGGGGTACACGAGCGTATTTTTTCGCCCGATCGCGGCAAATTTTAAAATCGCTCACCCAAAAATTCGCGTGGAGTCCGTGTGCCCGCCCGTTCACGTCGACGACGACGTAGCCGTAAAGAACGCCTGTATTTCAAAAATGTAAGAATATTTCGGCCGATTATTTACGCGGCTGATCGATCCTCTGGCCAAATTCGCATGCTGCCCGTGTCCGCGTATTTTGTCAAGCGAATCGTGATTTTAAACCAAATCGGACGTGTTTGTGAATATCATGGATGTTAAAAAGGCTGCCGTCCAATACAAAGTGGCGTACCGCGTACTCTCTCAAATTCCGAGTCGTTTGCCCCTTCGTGATCGTGGGCGGTGGTATACGGGAATTGCGTGGCGGAGTTTGACGATCCGCGCGCAATTGCGGGGCGAGAGGAATAGCTGCGTGTAGCCGCTCTTAGTGCTTTACGATGAAGAAGTACTTAATTGGAATTGTTTGGCTGTTTTGTTATGAGAGGCTGGTTATTGAGCTGGGGGCGGTGTGAAGGAGAGTAAAGGAAGCGACAGAAGAAACTGAGAGTAGGAATGGAGTGGAAGGTAAGTGTGGGTAGAGCGGTAGGCAAGGAAAGCTGGAAGCAGTATAGGATGTGAAGGGAAGGAGTACGGGAGGAAGGGAATGGATTAAGGAGAGTTCGCAGTTGAGCATCTTGGATTAGTGGGGAGGTTGCAATGTTAGGTGACAGAGACGTATGAATTTGCTAATGCGTGCGTCTGAGGAATGATAGCTTACACCAGTAGCTACAGCACTAGATTACTCGGAGGTCACGGGAGTAGCGATTATGGTCGGAGTAGACTGGTTCGACGGGTTGAGTCTGTACAGGTGGGCAGCAGGAGCGGGTGCCATAGCTGCACGTTATATCGAGTGTTGGGCAGCCGGTGCGACCGCGATATGGCTGACCAGTCTAGTTAAGGCGAGAGAGGTCGAGGCCGACTACGATGTGCGATGAGAGTGGGGAAGGTTATGCGGTAGCTTCGAGATCTCGTGTGTTTGTTCTCGATGTTACCGAGTTTACTGTAAAAACACACAGGTCGTATCGATACGCATACCTTTGAAATTACATGCGATGGTGTTATGTACGGATCATTTGCGGTATGTGTTACGCAAATGACGTCGTCAAGGCTATCGGTGGGTGTGCGACTTGAACTAAGGTCTAAATGCTGAATGAGACTCATGTGGTTGAATGAGAAAGCTGTAGCATAAGCAGAAGTGTGTGCTATACTTTTGGTCTAGGAGGTCGAGTTATCGGCGCGATGGTGACCGGGCAGTGAATGCCATATTGAAAGCGTCGATTGTCGTCAGAGCTGGGTGCATAAATATACTCGTTCTTTTGGTTTTTCTATTCATTGTAATATCTCGGAGACATTGTAATGATCGTGAAAATTAGCTTTTGAGAATTCTGATCTTAAACTATTTTTTCTTGACGTGCTCCCCTTGCTTTGAGATCTACTATTCTTTTATCATGGCGTAACATAAAGGTATGCGAAATCGCATCGTACGTCTATTTGCTTTGATCTCCTATAAGAAGCTCATTTATTTTTGTATTCTGTCATTAAACGTTATAAATGATTCCGTACGGATGTTGTATCAATTTTTCATTTTGTGGTGCATGTGTTTATTTTTTTGAATATGTAATCTGTTAATTTTGATTATAAGTGCATGAGTAATCGCACATTCATCACTACTTATAGAATGCAGCTGCACACTCCCTGTCATTTTTGCTATGCTGCAAAGTTACAAGTGCAGTTACTTCCAAGAATCAAAGTCATGTTTGACAGTCGATGCCTATGACAGATTACAAATTAGATAGCTGTTTTCCAGGGAACGGAATCTGACAGAAATTATATGATAATACGATTGAATTTCATACCCTCTGGGACGTTGAAAAAAAGAGTATTGTCTAGTTGTGTATAGTTTGTTTTATACTGTAGCCTAGCTGTATTATGTTCGATGTACTAATTGGTATACTTTTCTTTCATTACTTATAACTTAATAATATAGTGGCTTATCTCATTGATATCTAAAAATAATACACCTAACATGCTCACTGTACAGGTAAAATGAAAAGATTTAGAAATTATAATTCATGTAATAGAAATAATATAAAAAGTCCAATTGAACTCTAAAAGAAACGCATATATGAGTTTATATCTCTCTGATAAAAGCATGTTTTAATGCACGATTGTATAGCGCTAGCCTAATCAGAATAATTGTTGTGATCTGAAAATGTGGCTTACCGTATGTTTGTTTTTCAAAATAAAAAAATGCACTCTGTTAAAAATTTGGAATTTTGACTGATCACTGGGATTTAGGGATGTAAATTTTTTATTATNTCTATATCAATGAGTATTAAACTCATTTGGCTATTGTATTATAATTTAGCAAAAACCGTGTAAATAATATACGAAACAATGTAATCACGTAATTGATTTTTAATGCATAGTTATTCTCAGTACATGTTGTTTCTATACAACTTAGTATTGTTTACACTAGTTGTACACAGGAATTTGCTCTGCTATAAAATACTGGCTACAGCCACGGGGCGCCATGCAGGACAGGCATTTTTGTAC